GGGGGGGGCGCTCTGTGTGAGTGTGTGTGTGAACGCATTTAAATATGTAACGTAATACAATGGCTGTACATGAAGTCTAGTTGAACTCGTTGGCTCGAATCTTGACTGTCTCTTAAATCTGACAAAGCCTATAAGGCCGAAACACCTTGCTCCAGTTCAGAAAGTCAAAGGCGTCTTTGATCAGTTTGGTCCAAAATAATAACGTTACCTAAGAGAGAGCAAAAGTATGGGGCTAAGGACTTTTCTCAATTCGTTACCCAAAATAAAAAGTTATCTTAACTCAGAACCTGGTTTTGAGATGTTTAACGTTTAAAACGTGTTTCACAACATATCGAGCTTTCCAGAATGAAATTCTTTGAACATCTTGATAAAGACTCAGAATAATCTTACGATTTTGATAAATCAGATAGAACAGTTTGGTTTTTTACATCATGGTCTGAGTAACTTAAAATGGCCAGAAATGTTTGATAAAACGTTGTAATTCTAACAGAGCAAATTAACTAGATCTAGAATCTAGACCAAATTCAAATATTCAGATTTTATTGCTTATACTAACTGTAGGGGTTTTTTCCCAGAAAATTATAGGCACATGGCATTATTATTAGAAAAAAGCCGCAACACTTTTTTGTTTGTTGCTCCTTCAAGTTGTCATGAGTTACATGTGGCAAGGGAAATAAAATTAAATGTAGATACATGTATAGTCTCTGATCAGCCGTTTCTCTTTTTATATCAGCCTTTTTCTTTTTATAATACTGTCAACATGTTCCACGTCGGGTTGTTGTCTTTTATGATCCTTAATTTGTATACCTTCCTTGATGACCTCAACAGTCTCGTCTTTTATTTCTAAAGCTGAAGTGTTTTGGCCAGAAATACAAAAATGACTACCTCTTTGATATAACTCGCATGTGGGCCTACTTTCAGACAGTTATCCTGACAACATTTGACAAACGAATTCATTACTTCTAAGTAACTTAAATCCTTGTAATATATAGGCTACAATCCCAGAGATGAATGAATCATCCTGTGAATTTAACGGATTTTACTTAGTTTTATCTACAGTGACCTGGCATTGAGAAATTTTAATATCTGTTCTGCGATAAGTGCATAAACTTTTAGATTAAACAACTTTTTAAAAGTCAACACGTGGGGTTGGGTAGTGTTAAGGTTAAAGGTCAATGGGAATTAAACAAGCAAAGCTCTAGCATAAGTACCAAGTGTTTTTTAATGTGTTTTGAAATGGTGTCAAAAAACAACTAGCACAGTATCTTCAACATGCAGATTGAAGAGGAACCAGGTCTTCATGAGACTTTCCCAAGATATTTGTACAGGATTATTTTCTCAAAGCCTTTGAATGTGACAAATGTAAGGAAAACATGTCACAAGTCGTTTAGAGACAGAATACAAGACGTTCTTTGGTACAGGCACAACTTCTGCTGTGTTCCAAAAGAATGGAACTTTTTTTTTCTTAAATTAAATTTAAGAAAGTAAAGACGTATGAAAGGTAGATAAACAATATTAAATTAACTGTTTGGAACATTCCCTTAGCTCTCTCCCCTAAATTTCTTAATTCTTTTAAGGGCCAGAAGATTTACGAGTTTTTACATTTCTAAAATTTAGATCTAACTTCATTTTCACTGAATTTCAAACAAGTGCACTCACCCGACCTTTCTCTCAAACTCTCTCTAAATTGTTGTTATTCTCTGCCGAAATCTGCGCTACCGGAACGACAATAGAACCTATTGAGATCGTTGCTAGCACTTTACCATTTGTAACAATCAGTCAATCCTTTGCAGGGATGTGGCCCGTGATTTTCTAAGACACTTCTACGGGTTTTTATTGTCCTTACCGTTGAATTCCTCCTCTATTAAGTTTTTTTCTTGGAACTCATTCTTACAGTCAATTATTGTTCGTTTTATTAGCATGAACAAGAGCATTATTTTCTCAGTATTTTTATCGCTGAACGCATTTTCCTTTTCTTTCTCGAAGTCCGTTACGTCTTTAGTGTTCCATGATTTGTCATTGGGGAAGAATTTCTCTCTCCATGTGCTGGAAACTGCCTCTTCACAAAAGTGGACATAGGCGCCCACAGTGTCAGTAAGCTCGTCGATGATAGTGCACCAACACTTGAAATAAAACAAAACAAAAACAAACACAAAACAATGATTACGTTGTCACTTTTGATTTTTTTTGGGGGGAGGGGGGTAAGAGTTATTTGTTACTACTCCTGCTTTGTCTTGTTTTTTAACGATCTCACCAGGCAAGAGGACAATCGTCGACATATACAATACAACATACATGTAAGTATTAGGCTTATGGAAAATAAGAATAGCAGAACATCTAACAGTAGAAACTGATACAGGGGCATTTCCTGGCCTGCAAATCTCATGTAGGACCCTCCAAATTCCATGACGTGTTCTAGCCAAAATGCTGCCTCTTTGAGAGGCTCTTTATACAGCTTACGGAATATCTTTGAAGCAGTTCCAATGTTGTTCCTATAGGTGTCATTTTTCGCTACTTCCCAGATCAACCGAGCCAATTCCTCGGCTGTTATGTGACGTAGGTCGGCCTTGACGCCGAAGCCTTTGTTCTCCACTTTGATTGCGTTGTGCATCTGATCGGCGAACATCGGTAGGCACAGAATGGGAACACCACTGTATAACGCCTCGTATAAACCATTCGTACCACAGTGCGAAACGAACGCCATTGTTCTAACGTCAGCAAGGAGATCGTTTTGAGGGATCCATCTTGACGTAAGGACGCGATTGTTGAGATGTGCAGACGACAGGTTCACTTTCCAGACCACTCCGAGGTCAAGGCGTTCGAAAGCGTCAAGCATCTTATCTGAGATGGCAGAAGGGATGTTGTCGACAGCTGTACCGAAAGAGACAACTATAAAACCGTTAGTAACTTTCTTATAGTGTGCCAGAAACGACCCAGTTAACGGCTTGCCAGGTCGGGCTGCCGTTCCCCCTATCAGTCTTGTGTTTGGCAACATCGGCCTGGAATAATCTAAAATGTGATCTGTCTCTACTAAAAATATTTCAGCCAACACTGACAAGTCTCTCACAGCTATTGGTGGTTTCTCAGGAACAAGTATACTGATGATATCCTGATCACAGAAAGGGTTATATGTCATAATTGCAAAGAGAACGAAAAAGTTTTGTACACGTTCGAGAAATGTAAGTTTGTCTTTCAACTCTGATATGGGTGAAGGATTGCAGGCCGCCGTGAAGGGCACTCTTGCATTAGCCGGATTATGATAAGAACCGTAAAAGGCAAATGGGATATTCAATTTGTACGGGAGAGCCAGCATGCTATGACAAAACGGGGTCCAATCTAGAACAATTAAATGGGGTTGAATTCTCTTTATGTCAGATATAAAAGCAGCGTCTTTAACTAATTCTATCGAGTTTTGGGACATTGCTTCCCCAATTCTGGACACAGTTTTCAGATCCTGATCTTTACCAGCCCAAAAGTTGTCGTAGACTCCACACTCCACCATGATCACATTCCCTAGGTCTTTCACGTATTCTCCGTAAGACACAATGTTAATGTCGCGAGTATCCACCTGCTCACTCCGTCTCATGGCTTCAGAGATGCCCAGCCATACGTCATGCCCTTGTGCTGCCATCTGTCGGGCTACGTTAGCATGGCTGCGGGTGTGGCTGGTTTGTGCCACGGGCAAGAAGACGATTCGCTTCAGATCTGATGCTGGAAGCAGTTGCAGAAAGATCAAAATAACGATGGAAAACCTGGAGCCATAATATTTCAATCCCAAGGATTGCAACACCTGGAACAGGAATAAACATAGTTATACTGTGTAGCCTACAAAATAAAGAAAAGAAACGAAAATTGAGCTACACTTCTAATGTGAATGATGCTTTTCATTTTTCTATCAAACATTATTATTCAAACATCCCTCCCTCGGTGCATTGATACCACGCAGATCTGCGTGTCACACACATTTGTATTGCTTCTCTTTGATGCCCTCATAGCTGTTTGTTAGAACACCCCCCCCCCCCTCTTCGCCCCCCCCCACCTCTTCGGCCCCCCCCCCGAGGCCCACTCCCTCCCACAAATTATTTCATTTAAAAAAAGAGAAACGCCGTCCTTTAAAAGTCTAAAGAACCAAATTGGGTCTAAGGTAGCTCAAGCAAGCAGCATAAATAAATAAATAAATAAATACATAAATAAATAAATAAATAAATAAACACATGAATTCGCGAATACATGAATACATAGATACATGCATGAATAAATAAATAAATGAATGAATGAATGAATGAATGAATGAATGAATGAATGAATGAATGAATATATGAATGAATGAATGAATGAATGAATGAATGAATGAATGAATGAATGAATGAATGAATGAATGAATGAACAGGCAGACAGGCAGAGAGACAGATAGATAGATGGATAGATAGATAGATAGATAGATAGATAGATAGATAGATAGATAGATAGATAGATAGATAGATAGATAGATAGATAGATAGATAGATCGATAGATCGATCTCTCGGCCGTCTCGGCAATTGTTGTGAACAAGGAACATTGCTTACGATCGCTGAGGAAAAAGGGATCACATTTGTGGCATTGTAGGCCTACAATAGTTGCTGGCTTGCATTCTTTTAACATTTTTTTCTAACCTGAAACCAAAGCCAATCCATCTCTTTGAGGTTTCCAAATTAGGAGAGGCTGGCACAAATTAATGATCTTGCCTACGGGTAAAATTACACCACATAATGTGTATTTTTAAAATTATTTTTTAAAATTTCCGGACAAAACCAGTGCTCATTTCGAAGACGCTACGCTTTTATTGACTTACAATAATTGAGCGGAACTTGCATTATTCTGAAACTGTTCTTGAACCATCGTAAAACTCTTACTATAACATCACTAAACTGTTTTTAAATCCCTTTTCCGTGCTCTGCGGTCAGTTTACATATACGAAGCAAGGTCTAGCTCATTCAATCTTATTGGTGGGAGATTGGTGGGTGTTCTTTGTAGTCTGCTCCTTCTTTCCTAAAAAAAGTCTATCGCTCTTATGTCTCCTCCATCTTTGTATGTTACTCTTTAGTAGCACTTCTAATCATTGGCACGTTTATGATCTATGAAATTTTGTGTAGATCTAGCAAAAACCGTTAAACTCTTTGTACGAAAACTAATCTCATTGTGGCCAAACAATGTGTGAAATGTGCAGGGTATGATGAGAACAACGGCAACTGCACTGGGATCGACCTCACAAATCTAGAAAACAAAAATATGTCAATAGGGAGGGGGGGGGGGGGGGGGTAAACGTTTTCAATGAATCATTCTCTACTATTTAAAGAATATTCATGTGTTCAGAAACCTAGGCTGAATGAAAGAAGCTGGCTGGAGAAACTGCTAGCTCCACAATTTGTCTTTAAGATTCACGCTACCAAACAACAAACAAAAGAGCAACTGGGCGCTTGTGTTGTCAAGAGGTTACAGTGTTCGCCTCTTGTTCAATAGGTCCCAACGTCAAAACCTGAGAGCGACGGGAAATTTTCTTCTCTACTAAATCTTCTCCTTTCACCCCCTTTCCTGTTCTCATCTCACTGCTGTCTTTCAGCCACACTCCTGATCTCAGAGTAGGTAAGATATGACATCCTAAAATCAATAAGACATGGCTTCGGCGGCTACCCCGGCAAAATGGACTTAATTGAAATTGGCGCATAGTCCCCCCCCCCCCTTCCACACACACAAAATCCATCCAAGTAAAACAAAAAAGAAAGAACCCCCTCCTCCCCCCCAAAAAAAAGACAACTACTACTTACAATATAAACCAAGAAGCAGTCAACCAACCCCCAAATCCTTTTTATTTAAAAATAGGACAACGCAGATCAAAATAATACCACCAAATAAAGCGCAAAACGAAATACATGTAGAGACAAAAACATCAGTCTCGCTGTGTGGTATTATCATTTTATGTCCGTCATTCATTACTGCCGAATTTCAAATTACGAGGTTTGCAGCAGAAGCAATAAACTGTTGTATTTCGTGGGGAACTTTATCTTAACACAAAATTTTTAATTCGGCTAAATCCGTTACCTTTTTAAAAAGATGAATACGACTACGGCCAATCGATGTGTCTCAAACACCATAACATACTTGACTTAAATATTTTTGCAATACTACAATGCTGAATGACAGCAACATGTCCTGGCTACATGTATATTATCCCGGTATATAAATCGATATAATCGATATCATTCCTCAGTCATTTCCTTGCAAACTCAAGAGACGCCGGTATTCTCGAACCTAAACCCTTCCTACATTGTTAAGTTTGGAACCAGCTGTACATCTACAACCACCTTTCCTCAATTCCCGAGTCGCATAAAGCTTAAATAAAATTATCATTAGACTATTTTCTTTATACTGATAAATCACTTGTTAGTTTATTACCTGTTTACCAGCCATGGTGGGTTTGACAAAAGCTCTACAACGAACACTGTAAGCGTCAATGTTCTCCTGCCATGTGATTTCACAGCTGATCCGGATCCTTTATTTATACCCTTTTAGTGATCACGTTCCAGCTAGGTGCACACTCAGCAAAATTTTACCTTTCTCGATCAACTTCCTGATCTTAACCGATTTCCGAACCTTGAACGAATTTCGCTTGTGCTAAGAGTAAAAATACGGTTAACGCACACCAGCATAAGCTTACATGGCTGCTTTATTACCCAGAAGGTGGGATCCCCCACTGTACAGACCTTGAAAATCAAACTAGAGCGAGGTGGTCCATTTTGACCTGGGAGTAGTGAGGAGAAGTTCTTCCTCCTAAGGGTGGGTTGGGGTGTAAGAGGAGAGAGAGAGAGAGAGAGAGAGAGAGA